AGACTTTCAGGCTCTGTTTCCAGCAAAAAGCTGATTGTGAGTCAACTGAGTGGAAAGGCAACTACTTGTGGTTGTTAGCACAGTTGAGTTTAGCATTTAAATCAGTATTATTAGTGAACATCTGCTGATTTCTATTCATATATTTATCTGTACCTGTTTTTATAGGAACTTCTTCTAATACTTTCATCCTAGAAATTCTCCTTTTAGAGCTCAGTGTGAACCAAGTCACTTTTTAAACCATTCTCATAGTGTTGGAATCTTGAAAGAAAAGATACTTTTCTGAAAGTGAGTGTTACTTTCTTCTCTCTCATAGAGGCAGGCTATAAAACAGCTTTATTTGTTTGTTTAACATTTCTTTATCATCTACTAACCATATACTATAAGGGAAGATGTCGTTAGTTTTTTAGAGTGTGCTCATCAATACAGGTAATGGAGTCAGTATAGAGCCTTGTCAGTTTGATATAATAAATATTAAATTTAACCAATTAGTTAATTAAGCTGCTCACAAACCCACAAAGAAAAAACAGTGATTATGGAAATCCATCTAGTATTTTTAACCCTAACAATAATCTGTTATTTTGGATAATACTTGCGTAGCTATCCAGAATCAAACATATTTTCTCGTTACAGCTACTTAGGTATCATGTCATTCAGATGTAACATTCAGACCAGAAAAGAGAAAAAATTATATTGTCTTGTGGGTTAGACCTTGTCAGTCTTCTGAGCAATTTGGAATTCTTCTACCATGGAATCCAACTCCCCATTTTCTCCCCTCCCCCAGCTTATTTGAGGAGAGAGGGTGGAGTTCTTAAAGTTGTTCTACAACTACGTACTTCATTTCCTCTAAAGTGGGCTCCATAAAATGTCCATGGTGTTCTTAGAAGAAAAGGTTTGGGTAATGTTGCCTGAGTCAATATTAATTATTCCCTAATAAATCATCACCTTCCTTAGGGAACATCAAAAGCACATTATGCATTAGGCAAGTGAAATGAATGGCTGAAAAGTTATAATAATGTCATAGTGATCCTCCATGGCTGGTTTGATCAAAATCAACCAGAAAAAGTCAAATTTAACACTGCTGGTAAACTTAACAGAATAAAAACTCTGAGCTACAACAGAGTGTATTACACCATACATACTAGTTCAGCCCTCTCTCCAGAACAGATTAATTTATGAAAAAGTGTGAAAACCAAGTTTTTGTGAACGAAATTCTATTTTTAAAACCATATCTCATTTTTGCATATTGCTTTACAATTTTAAAAACATTTGAATATGTGCTTTCTCTGGCAAACCTCTCGCTCAGCAACCCTGTTACAGGGAAATGAGGCTTCTAAGTGATTTGTGCACTCAGAAAGTGGTAGAACCAGGGTTGAAGACCAAGTTGACGGATTTCTTTGGCTTACAGAAGATACTTACCTCCTTTTGTAAAATAAACAAACCCTTTGAAATATAATCACGTCCTAATTTTTCTTGTCAGTGAACCTAGATTTTCATGTTGGATTTATTTAAAGCAGGATGCACTTGTATTTATATATATTTTTTAGTTTGTTTCCTTCTGTTTTTGGAGAAGGATGTGACTGAGTTATATGTTCAATACAGTAGTCATAATGTTATATATTTCCTTCTCTGCTTGGACAGAAAATAAAGACTTCTTTAAAGAGATAAGTTTCTATCCTGATTAATATTTACCTTTTTTTTTTTTTTTAAATTCCACACAGTCCAACATTTCTTTAAAATTGTAGAACCCAGCTGCTAATTTAATTTGCCTTTTATCCACCATCCTGATCTCAAACTCGTGACTCCTTAGGCAAATTAATCTGCAGTATTTGTTGTTTTCTATTGGTTTTTTAACCAGAGAAACCATATATTGTGCCAACTACAAGTTGAATGTCGTATGTCACATCTTTTCTTATGTGTGTATTCCTCAGGAAGAGAGTCCATGGTTTAAACAACTATCTTTTTTTCTTTCCTTTTCTCTTACCAACAACTAACTACCTTGTAGTTATTTGGGGAACAATTACACCAGTCTCATTTCATTCATGTGAAAACTAAAGGAGAAGCTTCCTTATAAGGAATTATGTGAGCCAATAAAGACTTAATATTTACAAAATATTTGGAGTTGCCCAGGCAGAGGTTCTAGAAGAATGATAGATTGATAGTTTTTAGTCCTTATATAAAAACTTATGATAATAATCCCTCCAGGGTTTTGATAAATGACAATTTCAGAAAAACCACCATCCAAACAACAAAGAACAGCGGAAAGGGGAAACCAACCCTGACTGTTAAATCTCTTTGCAATTTAAAGCAAGTAACTTAAAATTCCCTATTTGTAAATGTCACAAAATATTGTAAAGAAACACATATAAGATGCACTGAGCTTCTTAAAGGAGGGTAATATTGAGATGTAAGGAGTTTGTGTAAGTTGCTTTAAAAAAGCCTAACCCCAGCAACGACCAGAATTAAACATTTTACTTCAACAAGCCTGATAATAAAACTTACTGATTATCTATCTTGGTAGGATATACTGTTCCACTTGGGTCCTGTCAAAAGATTCTTACACATTTTAAAACTCCTGGCAGGAATCTCAACCTGAAGATGGGAGTGGCCCTCTATTTGCTGTTCCATAACCTCTACCTGCTCTAGGAAGTAGGAAAAGGGTAATGCTGCAGGTGATGAAGGGCTAGAGGGCCCCCACTGCAGAACTCTTGCTTGTATTCCTAAAATCACACCCTTTCATCATCTGCCATTTTATTATAGAGTAAGAGGAATTAATGCTTCCAGCTACCATCTATATATGACCATTTAGTGTTTTCTCATTATAGATTGCCTCTGACTTTCATATATTCAGTTTTCATACAGTGTAAAATTTTGATCATTGATACCCCAAACTTTTTTTAAACAGTAAATTTGGTTTCTTGTATATCAGCTGACTCATAAATTTCTGCCAGGCCACAGTCTTTATAGTGAAGATTTCTGGTTTTCTGTTGTATTGGAAGGGGGGTCAAAACCCATTGCCATCGAGTTGATTCTAACTCAAAGCAACCCTATAGGACAGAGTAGAGCTGCCTCATAGGGTTTCCAAGGAATAGCTTGTGGATTCCAACTGCCAAACTTTTGGTTAGCAGCTGTAGCTTTTAACCGCTGCACCACCAGGGCTCCGAAAGGGGGATTTTAAGCAGTCCCCATCTCTCTTCCCCCCTCTTCTCACTCCACTTCTGTGTACTCCCCCAGTGCTAAGGTTGCCAGACTCTTCAAGATTAGAGCATGGACGTTCCCTGGATCTATCCAGTCTAGCCTTCTTTCCCCCACCTGCACAGCCCCTGCAGCCCTGCCTCCCTGTTGGCCTGGGAGTGGTGGATGGGAAGGAGACACCAAACAATGGGTGCAGTGTTAGGGACTAAAGTCAGCCTAGGCTGGAGCCTCTCAACCAGGCTTTGACAGTTGAGTCCTCAAGGCCTCTCACAACTTTTGCTCCGGGGAGGTCTGAGGAGAGGTTTCCTTTCATCCTTTCAAGGTCCACATGCCAGGCATTCTCTCTCATAGAGGTTAACAACTAAAGGGCTGCCTGACCTTTTGTCAGCCCTTGTGGAGAAATCAGCCTCCTAGAAAAGGAGATGCCTGGTTCAGCTCAACTTCCCTGGGCCTTAGGTGACAGCTACAAGCTGGCAGCTCCCTCCTCCAAGACCCCTTGAGGCCTGAAAATTGTTTGCCAGCCAGATGCTTGGCTCCAGGAAACAAGGACACATGCACAAACCATAATTTGGGATTGATTCATACTTTTTAGCTCTCTGGCAATAACAATACCCATCCCTCCCCCAAAAATAAATTACGAATTTATTGTTAGTCTTTTGAAATTTCAACTTTCCAGCAATTTGTTGGAAAAGCATGTTGGTATGATCCAACTCTGTTGGAAAGGGACTACCTGTGCTGTTTTATCTACATCTTTCATGAGTCTCTGAAGCCTAGAAGAGTTAATTGAGTCTCCCACCACCACCACCACCAGGATTTCTAAAAGAATGCTACATGACAGAGAGAAATTTTGGTTGAAGTTAGGGAGCTAGAAATTACCTAGGTTATGGAGCTCTTTGATTATTTTAATTAGCCTTTTTTTTCCTTTTAAATAAGGAAGAGAGATTACAAAAGAAGAAAAAATGAAAAGCTGAGAGAAGGATAAAGAAGATGAAGAGGGACACAATTATCTTCTACCACCGCTCTCCCCTCCTCAAAGGGAACACTTTAAGATGTATGACACATACATCAATTGAGAAGCCGTGTAAGCCCCACAATTGAGCACAGAGGGTACCTCCTACTTAGTGTTTGCATGAGAGTAGGCTGGCTGTTAGACCACCAAAGAATGAGCCACGTGATTCCACAAACCCAGTAATTTTTAGTGTGAAGGTTGATTTCCTCTACTGCCTAACTCTTGCGTTACCCAGTACCTCAAACCCAGCCTTGACCATTTTTAAGTGGAACCTTTTTCAAGGTTTTGACCTTACTGACCCACCTTGTGGTTCATACAAGCTGCCTTATCTGGAAGTGTTGAGTCACCATTACATTTATTGCCTACACGTACTTGTTAACAAGAAGTTTCTGAGATCCTGCCCTGGGAGCTGATTTCTCCTGCTCTTACTTGAGAAACTGAACTTTATAGAATGCATCACCTAAACCAATGAGTGCTTCCCAGATTCTTCAGATTCTTCAGCATTGTAACAACCAAACATTTTTGGATTTTTGTGAATCCCCTTTCTCTTCCCTTTTCTCAAAACAAAAAAATTTAAAATTAGACTTTTATTTTGAAAAGTTTGTAGAGTATGTTGTGATAACCTTTGATTTTTTTTTTTTTGCCACATCCAAGATTAAAAACCCTACTATAAATCTAAGACTTGTTTTATTAGCCTAATTAATTAAATTTAAAAGTTCAACATACTATTGTTATAGTCTTTAAGTATTGATTGGCCCACTTAATATACTGAATTGTTTTCATATATGCTTAATTGCAGGAAATCTTCATCGAGCCAGCAGTGTTCCTGAGTATGTCTACAACCTACACTTGGTTGAAAACGATTTTGCCACAGGGCGTTCCCCCGTTGCTAAAACTTATGACATATTACAGGTAGGATATCAAAGAATAAAACCCCAGTTATCAGATTACCATGAAAACATTTTCAAACTTCCTTAGATTATTTTCTTAATGTTTACCTGTTCCAAGTATTACCATTTACCAAATGAATTATAAGAAAATGGATTTTATGTGAACACCATGGAAAACTAGAAACTTTAAGCAGTATCAAGTCCTAGTGCAAATAAACCAGAAAACCAAACCTGTTGCCATTGAGTTGATTCTGACTCAGTTGGAATGAGTGCAAATAAATATGACCCAAATAAACCAAATCTTGTTTGATTAAAGTCTTTACCCAGAATGGGACCAGCTTCCCTATCTGAGCCAGAGGAACATACATCTTGTTGAATAGTCCTGGAGTAGTTGTTGTTGTTGTTAATTGCTGTCGAGTCAGCTCCAACTCAGGGTGACTTTATGTATAACAGAATGAAACATTGCCCAGTCCTGAGCCATCTTCATGATTGTTGGTATGTTTGAGCCCAAAGGAGTGATTGCTTTTCAGTAAAGACAAAAACTGATGTATAGCTCATTTAAACTTTATTTCTTGCTTGTACAGGCAGGAACAACAGCCACCTATGAAAATCGTTGGAGGAGAGGAACTGCACAGTACAGTTCACAGAAGTCGATGGAGGAAAGGTCGTTGAGGCATCCTTTGAGGAGACTTGAGATTTCTCCCGACAGCAGTCCTGAGAGGGTTCATTATGTGCACAGCGATTACCATTACAACCAGGGAAGCCAGGCTGGGCACACTTTGCGGCACCAAGAAAGCAAGAGATCCACCCTTCTCATGCCACCAAGATATGCTCGTTCAGAAATTGTTGGCTTTAACCATCTCGGTGCTGTGAGCAGACAGCGCCACTATGACACTTACCAAAGACGATACAAGTACGGGTCTGTTAACGATAGTGTTTTTGATGGCGTTCCTGTCAACCCAGCAGTGCTCACATATCCCAGGCCTGGGACCAGTCACAGCATGGGCAACCTCTTGGAGAAAGAGAACTACCTGACTTCAGGGCCTGTCACTGGGCACATAAGGCCACTGGTGCCCCTGCAGCCTGTCACCCAGAATAGGGCCGCTAGATCCTTCTGGCATCAGAGCTCCTTCCACAGCACCCACACTCAGAGGGAAGCCGGGGCCAGTGTCGCTGCAGATTCAAGTGGAAGGAGAACGCTCATGACCATTGGCCAGGTGGCAGCCGGAGGAAGTGGGAATTTGCTTGCAGAGGGAAGCACTTTCACCGACTCCCAGCCTGGGTAAGGCCCCTGCTGAATCTGCAGTTCAGTCAGTGCCAGCACATTCTGTTCCTACCGCCCTTACAGTGTGAGTTGGCAATTCTAGGTGGGGAGAAAGGCTTCCAGAGATAAGTGATTAAAATAATGACTTTTTACACAGCTGCCTAATTGACTTCACTTCAGGGAAAAGGTCCAAACTACCTGCTCATATGGCAGCTTTGTGGGAGAAATATGACATTTCAGTCCATCTGTTCCAGATTAAATGCTGGCTGGAGAGATGTCTACCCCTAGGCTATATGAAAGTCTGCTTTGAGCGATAGCAAACTCCAAGTAGACCAAGAAATGGATAATTTCACACATTTTCTCAATAATTCCTTGAAATGAAGGAAAAAGGCAAAAATACTTGCTCCTGGTGCTAAGAGTGAACCTCAAATGCTGTTTTGATAACTACTACCATAAAAAGACGATGAGAGCGAAGGAAAGGCAACTGATTTGTAGATGCCTATTTCCTTTCTTTGATACTTGAGACCTTTATTTTTCATTCTAGTATCAAAATTTGGAGAGTATTTTTTGGCAACTGCTGAATAATGAAAATAATTGAACTTTACAAGTCATTCCTTTGTTTCTCCTATTTACTTTATGGCTTGACTAATTTAGTTTTTGGAACTTAACTCGTGTTTAAGTTTAATCTTGGACCGCAAATTTTATAAACTGAGGAATGTTGAGAAAAGGATGAATGATTAAATCAGTATCCCCTGAAGTAATCTAGTGTCATTATGGCAAAATATTAAATATGTGATTTTTGTTGGCTTTCTAAAGTTGCTTAATGAAAGTTATTATCTTTCATTATCCCTTTAAGTGAAATTGTGCAGTGATACACACTGACTAGGGAGGCACTGATGATAAATTACTTTCCAAAAAGACTTTTGGCCTATTTTAATCTTAAAGCAGGAAACATTTTTTATGAAGCAAAATTTGCCGTGAGACTTCTACCATTTCTTATAGAAAGCAGATATTTCAGCAATATGGATACACTTACAAAGAGGAAAAATTGCATGAGGTAATTATGGAGGGAAAAGACAATGGAGGCTTTTAAAGTAATAATTCAAAATTTATTGAATGCCTCCTATATTCTAGAATTTGTGCTAGGCACAGTTTTAATAAAATGATTTTAACAATAACAAAACTCTGTTACCCAATATCCTCCATCAACAGGCATCCTTCACTTCCTCCTTCTCTATGAGCTCTGTCACTTACCAATTTCTCATCAACCCATTGCAATATGGCATCAGTCCCCACTGTTTCACTGAAACAGCCTCCCAACAAATGTACTGATTTACAGCCTAAGCTTTATTTTTACATCATAAGCAGACACATATTCTAGTTCTTATATTATTTAACGTGTCAGCAGCATATGACACCCCGTCTATGAAATTTTCTCTTCCCTTGGTTTTCAGGGCACCACCCTCTCCCGATTCCCTCTCGCCCCTCCAGCCATTCCTTCTTAGTCTTTTTTGAATGCTTCTCTTCTGCACACCCAATGAAGTTGTCTTCAGTCCTCTTCTCTTCCGAGTCTTTGTGCTCTTCCCAGGAGGCCCTATGTCCTAGTACCTATATCTTTATGGTTTCTAAAGTCTAATCCTCAGCTTTGTCCTCTCTACTAAACTCCAGACCTGCATATCTAACAATCTCTAGAACATCACATACTGAATATATCCTAAACTAAATTGATCATCTCCTCCTACTATAGTCCCTCCATTTACAACCCTGAGAAGCATTCTTTTTTTTTTTTTAATTGTTGTGCTTTAAGTGAAAGTTTACAATTCAAGTTAGTCTCTCATACAAAAATTTATACATACATTGTTTTGTGACCCTTCTTGCTCTCTCTGTACTGTGATAGCACACTCTTCCTTTCCACCTCAGATTTCCTGTGTCCATTCAACCAGCTCCTGACCCTCTTTGCCTTCTCATCTCGCTTCCGGATGAGAGCTGCTCACTTAATCTCGTGTATCTACTGGAGCTAAGAAGCACACTCTTTCATGAGTATCATTTTCTGTCCCATAGTCCAGTCTAATCTTTGTCTGAAGAGTTGGCCTCGGGAATAGTTTTAGTTTTGGGCTAACAGAGAGCCCAGGGGCCACGTCTTCCAGTGTCCTTCCAGTCTCAATTAAACCATTAAGTCTGGTCTTTTTTACTAGAATTTGAGTTCTGCACCCCACTTTTCTCCTGCTCCATCAGAGACTCTCTGTTGTGTTTCCTGTCAGGGCAGTCACTGTGGTAGTGGGGCACCATCTATTTCTTCTGGTCTCAGGCTGATGAAGTCTCTGGTTTATGTGGCCCTTTCTGTCTCTTGGGCTAATACTTTCCTTGTGTCCATGGTATTCTTCATTCTCTTTTATTCCAGGTGAGTTGGGACCAATTGATGGATCTTAGATGGCTGCTTGCTAGCTTTTAAGACCCCAGACACCGCTCACCACAGTGGGATGCAGAACATTTTCTTAAAAAACTTTGTTATGCCAGTTGACCTAGATGTCCCCTGAAACCATGGTCCCCAGACTGCCACCCCTGCTACTCTGTCCCTTGACATGATTGGTTGTATTCAGGAAATTTCTTAGCTTTGTTTTAGTCCAGTTGTGCTGACTTCCCCTGCAGTGTGTGCCGTCCTTCCCTTCACCTAAGATAATTCTTGCCTGCTTTCTAGTTAGTGAATACCCCGTCCGTCCCTCCCCACCCTTGTAACCATCAAAGAATGTTGTCTTCTGTGTTTAAACCTTTTCTTGAGTTTTTATAGTAGTGGTCGTATACAATATTTGTCGTTTTGCAACTGACTAAGTTGACTCAGCATAATACCTTCCAGATTCCTCCATGTTATGAGATGTTTCACGGCTTCATCGTTGTTCTTTATTGTAGTGTAGTATTCCATTGTGCGGATATACCATAATTTGTTTATCCATTTGTCCATTGATGGGCACCTAGGTTGTTTCCATCTTTTTGCTATCGTGAACAATGCTACAGTGAACATGGGTGTGCATATATCTATTCATGTGATGGCTCTTAATTCTCTAGGATGTATTCCAAGGAGCAGGATTGCTGGATCATATGGTACTTCTATTTCTAGCTTTTTAAGGAAGCTCCAAATCGATTTCCATAGTGGTTGTACCATTTTACATTTCCACCAACAGTGTATAAGTGTTCCAGTCTCTCCAACATTTATTATTTTGTGTTTCTTGGATTAATGCTAGCCTTGTTGGGGTGGGATGGTATCTCATGGTAGTTTTGATTTGCATTTCTCTAATGGCTAATGATCGTGAGCATTTCCTCATGTGTCTGTTAGCTGCTTGAATGTCTTCTTTGGCGAAGTGGCTGTTCATATCCTTTGCCCATTTTTCAACTGGGTTGTTTGTCCTTTTGTTGTTGAGGTTTTGCAGTATGTTGTAGATTTTAGAGATTAGATGCTGATCAGATTTGTTGTAGCCAAAAATTTTTTCCCAGTCTGTAGGTTGTCTTTTGACTCTTTTGGTGAAGTCTTTTGATGAGCATAAGTGTTTGATTTTTAGGAGCTCCC